CCCTGCCCCTGCGGAGAGGGCCCAACTGGCCCAGCCCAGCCTCCTATGTGCACACACTTTAGCCTCCTGCCTCTCACAGCCAGACTTGGAGCCCATGCCAGGCAGGAGGTTACCTGGTGCAGGCCCACAGGGTGGCCTCCAGGATGGCCATGGCTGGAATAAAGTGAGTGCCTATTATGGGGCTCCCTATGGGTTATGTGTTTCCTGGTCCTCTCCCTCCTCAGGTGCAGCGAGGAAGCTGGCCTGGAGTGGGTGGGGTCGTGGGGCCTGAGCGGGCACGTGCATACTGACCCGCAGGTGTGAAGGCCGCGCAGGTGTAAACCCACACTTGCGGTTCTGTGGTGCACGGCGCACATGCCACAGCGCTGGCCGTCAGGGGCCTGGCGTGGGCATTGGTCAGGTAGGCCTTTGTAGGGTGCAGCCGTGTGGCCTTGGGGACAGGTAGGGAAGGTCCATGCTGCCAGGCAGGTTGTGGCCTTGGTGGGCACCGCTGCTTCCTCCCCTGTGAAGATTGTAGGGGCTGAGCCCTGGCCTGGCACCTCTGGTTGACATCTGGTCCCTCTTTGACCCTCAGTCACCACCACTGAGAGTGATTTGAAAGAGGTGCTTTGTTTCTGTGTGTAAATTATACCACAAGGAATTTTATCTTAAAAATAAATATGGTGAAAAAAATAACATACTTTGCAGTGTACTGAGGAACTTTTATGTCTGTTGGGTTTTTAAAAATTTTTATTATTACTATTTTTTGAGACAAGATTTTGCTATGCAGTTCATTTTGCAGGCTGGCCTTGGACTCACTTTGTAGCCCAGGCTGGTCTCCAACTCACAGCAGTCCTCCTGCCTCAGCCTCCCAAGTGCTGGGATTACATGCATGTGCTACCACTCCTGGCTCTGTTGTTTTAGAGTCAGTCTGCCTTCCTTCCTTCCTTCTTTTCTTTATTTTGCTCTCTCTTGCTCGCTCTTTCTTTTCTTTTCTTTCTTTCTTTCTTTCTTTCTTTCTTTCTTTCTTTCTTTTTCTTCCTTCTCCTTCCTTCCTTCCTTCCTTCCTTCCTTCCTTCCTTCCTTCCTTCCTTCCCTCCTTCCCTCCCAGGGTTCACTATGCAGTTCAGGCTGATCTTAAACTCACTGTGTAGCCCAGGCTGGCCTCAAACTCATGGTGTCCCTCCTGCCTCAGCCTCCTGAGTGCTGGGATTCCACTTTGGATTTTTTTTTTTTTGAGGTAGGATCTCATTATATTGCTATCTTGTCTTGAACTCCTGGGTTCATATAATCCTCCTTCCTCAAGTAGCCAGGACTACAGAAATGTACCACTGCACCAGCTTTACTTCAAATTCTTCTTTTTTTTTTTGTACTGGGGGCTGAGCCTAGTGTCTTTGCAGTGAGCTACATTTCCAGCCTTTTTTTTAAACATGGTCTTGCTAAATTGCTGTGTTGTCCAGGCTGGGTTTGAGTTTGGGTTTCTCCTGTCTCAGCCTCCAGAGTGCTGGGATTACATGTGGGTACCACCATGCCCAGCTTTTACTTTGGAATTGGTAATGCTTTTTTTCATTGTTAGGATAGTCAAGATCAAGTAAAATTCTGAGAGTAATTAAATTGTTTTGTCATAGGCCTTTATGATGACTTTTTTATTGTATCAATTATCTCTTTCTGGATAATTTCACTGGGAAAACACTTCTAATATATGTAATAAGAGACTTCTTTCTTATTATTTAAGAGTATGATGTGAATCCTTACAACTTAATAAGAGTCATATAACTCATTTTTTTACAAAGGACAAAAGATCTGAATAGCCACGTCAGCAAAGCAGACATAAACACTGCCGGTGTGCTTATAAAAACTTGCTCAACATCACTAGCCATTAGTACAAGTTAAACCCACAGTGAGATCCCGTCTCATGTCGGCTGGGAAGGCTGTGTTAGACTGACAGTGTTGAGCGCTGGCAAGGGTGTGGAGAAATCGGGTCCCTCGTACTTGTGCACTGCTGATGTGAGTGGGACGATGTGTAGCCACTTTCTTTTGTTTTGTCTTGGTTTTCTGAGACAGGGTCTTGCTATGTAGTTCAGACTGGCCTGGAATTCACAGTGATCTCCTGTCTCAGCCCCCAGAGTGCTGGGACACAGACGTGTGTGCCACCACACCCAGCAATAGTGCAGTGTTTTGCAAAACAGTTTGACAGTTCCTTAAATACTGTATGTTAGACATAGATTTACTGTGTGACTCAGCTATTCAGTTCATAGGTATCTAGCAAGAGAAATGAAAACACATCTAAGCTCGGTGTGGTGGAACATGCCTGTGTTGCCAGCACTCTGGGAGGCTGAGGCAGAGGATGGCCAATGTAATGATAGAGTGAGACCCTGTCTCAAAAATTAAATGTAGCTTAATGTGAAGGCCTGTGTTCTATCCCTAGTACCACCAAAAGAACGCACCAGTCAGTCTGTCTGCATAAACACTGGCAGTGTTTCTTCAAATAGTCAATGGTGGAAACAACCAGGTACTTACAACTATGATAAAAATGCAGTCCATTTCTACATGAAATATCAGTAAATGCGAGAGGACCGTGCACATTCTCCAACAGGGTGGACTCAAACACACCGGCCACAAAGACCCTATGTTGCGTGGTTTTACCTATAGAAAACGTCCACAGAGGGAAAATCCGTGGGGACACAATGGAGCGTGGTTGTGGGCCTGGGACTGTGAATGGGAAACGACTCTATGAGCTTTCCTGGGTGATGAGGATGTACTAAATTGAAATTGTGATGTGCTACTGGGTCAGCTCTTGCATGTGGCCCCCCTCACGTGGTAGGGTACGCTTCTTTGCCTACTTTTACTTGGCCCAAACTTGCTCAGCAGAGCCTGTTTCTTTTCCTGCCTTTAATAAAACTTTCCTGTGAAAAAATCAGATTGTGATGGGTGCATATTTACTAAAAGTAAATTATACTTAAAATGTGTGAATGTTACAGCATTTAGATTGTGCTTGTGAAGCTTAAATCTGACTGCCAATTACAGATCTGCTGTCATAGCAGCACCCTCCCGGACCCCTGGGCTCAAAACAAACATGTTCTGTACTCACACCACATCTGAGGCTTACAGGGACCCAGGCAAAGGAGAGGTCACAGAGCTGTTCCGATCAGGGAGTGATGTGTCAAGCAGGCCCAGTCTGTGGCTTACACATCAACACTGCTGCTGCTAGCATCCAGCAGAAAGGCCACATCAGGTCCTGTCCTCACGTCACTCTTGCTGTGGCTTCCTGCCATCTGCAACCCCTCCTGGCATGTGGAAGCCTCATGGCAAAAGGTCAAGGGCCCTGGTGTTGGGTGGGTCAGCATTTGATGCTGGCCGTGTCACAGGGAGCTGCTGATGTCTTAGCAGCTGCTGTTAAAGCTCTGGATGCTCTGTTCTTAAATCTTTCGAATGGGCTTTATCTTGCTTACCTCTTAAGGGTCATCACAGGGTCATGTGAGCTAATATAGCTAACTCTTGCCACTGGCAACAGCCCAACCATAATTGGTCACTAAGCCGGGTCCAGCGGCTCAGACCTGTAGTCTCATCTATTTGGAAGGCAGAGGCAGGAGAATCACTTGAGGCTAGCGGTTTGGGGCTAGCCTGGACAACATAGATCCTCATCTTAAAAAAAAAACAAAACTTGATCATTACTATTGGTTGTCATGTAATGATCCTTATGTTGCCTGTGAAATTTTTTTTTTGGTACCGGGAATTGAACTTAGGACCTTGCGCTTGCCAGGCAGGTACCATGCCCCTGAGCTATATCATCAGCCCTTGCCTGTGAAATTTTGTTTAAAGGTTCACATTCAGACAACTTTTCTAGTGCAAGGGAATAATTGATTAAATCCCTGGTCTCTTAACACATGGTAGGAGCTTGATAAGTAATAAAGATATTGAAGGAATATCAATACAACACTGAGATTTTAAGAACTTTTTCTACTAACTGTATCCTGGATAGAGTGACTACCATTTATTAAAATTGCTGGTTTTTTGAGACAGGGCCTCCATGTAGTTCAAGTTGATCTTGTACTGTGTAACCCAGGCTGGCCGAGATCCTTTTGCTTCAGCCTCCTGAGTGCTGGCGCTATATGCACGGACCACTTGCCCGGTAGGAATTGAGGCATTTTGTTACTTGATTTATTTTCTTTCAGGAGCCACAGAGGTTGCAGTTCAGGGTTGTATCCTTGTCTTGACTTCCCAGTCAAGGTTCCCTGAGGTTAATTCTCACCACCATGGAGCTGCTGCTTTCGTCAGAAGGGGAATTTGAACCCCAGGAATGTGGAAGGCCCTTCCACTTTATCGTGTGGCTAGCTCTTATCTCTAATGCTAAATTCATGATGAACAAGATGCCTGGTGCAAGCCTGCAGAGAGCCCATGTGTGATGAAACCCCCAAGGCCGCAGGGCACTGGGCCAGAAGTTGGGGTTTGGGACCCTAGACTGAGGCCATGTGGTCAGTTCTCAGAGTGACCTTGATATTATCTCACTCTGGTGGAAGTTTCCTACATTTATAAAATATTTTCAAGACTGTCCTGAAGATAATGTGATGGTGGCACACACCTGTAATCCCAGCCCTTGGGAGGCTGAAGCAGGAAGATCACTGTGAGTAGTTCGAGGCCAGCCTGGGCTATATAATGAGTTCAAGACCAGCCTGAGCTACACAGACCCTGCCTCAAAAAAAAAAAAAAGATTGTCCTAAAAATGAACTGAGATCAGGATTAACAATAGGCCCAGCGTAAAAGCGTAAGTCCTGGGGGTTTATGGCCATTTCTTCATTTCCAGGCTTTCTCCGGGTGCCTCCCAGTGTCAAGGGTCATCCTCCTCCCACCCTGCTGCCTCTGGACAGAGCCACTAGGCTGCTGGGGTAAAGCAGGCCGGGACTGCAGAAAGTGCACAAATAGTCACCTTCGAGGCGGAAGCCCAGGTGGTACTTCTACCGACTCCAGCCCCATGGCCCACCTCCCATGCGTTCTTCAGGAAGGCACACCGTGTTCCCGGTGCGGTGTTGCACGCCGGCGATCACAGCCAGTTCGGTTTAGCCCGGGTCCTTCCCGGCCCTGCACGCTCCGCCCCTCCAGGTGGCGTTGCGGCCGGCGGCCGCTAGGGGCCGAGCGGGAGCCGCGGCCAGGCGGACGGCGCATGCGCACGCCGTGGG